AAAAAAAAGAAAACTTCTACATAATAAAGGAGAACTTCTTTGATATGGAAACAAAAAATTATTCTGACTACTTCAGAAAAAGAAAAAAGCTTTTATTAAAAAGAACCACAGAAAAAAGCCACAGAGAAGATATTTGCAACAGGTATCAGTCACAAAAAGACTTCACATCCAGGTACATAAAGACCTCCTACAGATCAATGAGGACAAGAGACATTCCACCAGAAAAATGGGCAGAAGACTTGAAAAAGCACATCACAGAAAGGAAAGTTAAACGGCCAACAAATATAACTAGGATACCAATCTCATTAGTAATTAAGGACATGTAAATTTAAAATGTAATGAAACATTGTATCATTACACATACACTAGATTGATAAGATGTTTAAATCAAGCAAGAATATAGAGCTAATGGCAGGGGGAGAGGGGCTGCCCTAGAGAGCTGGTGGATTTGCCCCAGGCTCCTGTCTCCCCCACACCTGGCTTGCAGGCAGCCTTTGCTGCCCCCAGGGGCAGGACACACATTTTCTAGTTTGCTTACTGGAGGCTGGTGAGATATGGTCAGCTGGTAGCCGTCAGGTTGCCCCCTGCACCCTGCCCACCTCCCAGGAGCAGGCAGACTGGAGCATGTGTGTCCTGCGACCTGAGGCAGCAGAGGCCACCTCCAAGCCAGGCCACAAGGCAGACTGGAGCAAAGAGGCCAGCTCCTTGAAGGCAGGCACTCTCCCTCAGCTGCCCCCTGCTCCCTGACTACACCACGCCTGCCTCCTGAGAGCTTGCTGATCTGGGGACCTGCTGACAGCGAAACTGGGGCAGCAGAGGCCATCCCTAGGCCAGGCCACAGGGGAGATGGGAGCAAGTGACTGGTTCAAAAGGGGCAGCCCCCTTCCTCCCGCCACTGCTGCTACCATCCTCCCAACCCCCTGACTGCACTGAGCCCATGGTCTTACCAAAGTGGGTACAGAGGGAACATTATTTCAACATAGTAAAAACTATTTATAACAAACTTATGGCCAGCATAATACTGGACAGTAAAAAGCTGAAAGCCTTTCTGCTCAAATCTCGAACAAGGATGCCCACTCTCACCAGCTATATTCAATACAGTAGCAAAAGTCCTAGTATAGCAATTAGACAACAAAAAGAAAAGTGACCCAAGTTGGAAGAAAAGAGGTAAAATTGTCATATGCGGATGACATAGTACTATACACAGAAAACCCTAAAGGCTCCGCACAAAAACTAAGCGCTAAGGAAAGAATTCAGCAAGGTAGCAGGATCCAACATCAACATACAGAAATGAGTGGCATTTCTTTACATGAAAGGAATAATCCCTTTTAAAACTGCATCCAAAAACATAAAATACTTAGGAATAAATCTGACCAAGGAAGTGAAAGACATATGCAGAGACCTACAAAACAGTGAGTGAGGAAATTAAAGAGGAACTAAAAAATGGAAAGATATCCCATGTTCTTGCCTTGGAAGAATTAATATTGTTCAAATGGCCACACTGCCCAAACCAATCTACAGATTTAATGTGATTCCCCATCAACTTACCCAGGACATTTTTCACAGAATTATGACAAATTATCCTAAAATTTACTTGGAATCACAAAAGACCCAGAATTACCAAAGCATTACAGAAGGAAAAGAATGAAGCTAGAGGAATAACCCTCCCAGATTGCAGACAATACAACAGAGCTGCAGTCAAAACAGCATGGTATTGATACAATAACAGACATATGGATCAACGGAACAGAATAGAGAGCCCAGAAATAAACCCAAAAACTTCTGGTCAATCTTTGACAAAGGAGGCAAGAATATACAATGGAGTAAAGACAGTCTCTTCAGCAAATGGTGTAGGGAAAACTGGACAGCTACATGTAAATCAATGAAATTAGAATATTCCTTCACACTATATACAAAAATTAATTCAAAATGGCTAAGACTTTAGAAGAAAACATAGGCAAAACATTACCTGACATACATCTCAGCAATGTTCTCCTAGGGCAATCCGCCCAAGCAACAGAAATAAAAGCAAAAATAAACAAATAGGACCTAAGTGAACTTACAAGCTTTTGCACAGCAACAGAAACCATAAGCAAAACAAAACAACCTACAGAATGGGAGAAAATACCTGTAAATAATTCAACTGACAAAGGCTTAATTTCCAGGATACATAAACAGCTCATAAAACTTAATAACAAAAAACCACCAACCCAATCCAAAAATGGGCAGATCTAAACAAGCATTTCTCCAGTGAAGACTACAAATGGCCCATAGGTACGTAAAAAATGCTCAATATCACTAATTATCAGAGAAACGTAAGTCAAAACTACAATGAGGTATCAGCTCACACCAGTCAGAATGGCCAACACTCAAAAGTTCATGAAGATAAATGCTGCAGATGGTGTAAAGAAAAGGGAACCCTCTTACACTGCTGGTGGCAATGTAGTTTGGTGTAACTGTTAGGGAAAATTCCTCAAAAAACTTAAAATACTTACCCTATGATCCAACAATCCCACTTCTGGGTATAAATCTAGAGGGAACTCCAATGCAAAAAAAAAACACCTGCACCCCAGTATTCACAGCACCACTATGTACAATAGCCAACACATGGAAGCAACCTAAATGAAGCAACAAATGACTGGATAAAGAAGTTGTGGTATATTTATACAATGGAATAATACTCTGCCATAGAAAAGGATAAAACAATGTCATTTGCAACACGAATGGACCTAGAGATCATCATTCTAAGTGAAGTGAACCAGAAAGAGAAAGAAAAATACCATATCACTCATGTGCAATCTAAAAAAAAAAGACACTATGAACTCATCTACAAAACAGAAACAGACTTACAGATTTAGTAACAAATCTTATGGTTACCAGGGAAAGGGGTCAGGGAGGGATAAATTTGGGAGTTTGAGATTTACAAATATTAGCCACTATATATAAAAATCGATTTAAAGAAAGTTTCTTCTGTATAGCACAGAAACCTATGTTCAGTATCTGAAAATAACCTATAATGGAAAAGCTGCTACAGCCACCAACTGAGGAAGCAAGAGAACAAAGGAGAGTTAAGTTATCCTGGGCTAGAGCCAGGTCCTCGGAAAGTCCTTGCCCACCACTGACGCTGCCCCAACTGCACTGGGCCCTCCTCCCAAGAGAAGGCTGACATTAAGACATGTCCCCTGAACCTGTGGTCGTAGAGGCCGCCCTCAGGAAAGATGGGAACAAGTCACCTGCTGGGGGAGGACACCACCCCTCCCCGCCGCCGCCCTCTAACCGCACTGCCCCTGCCTCTGCCTCCTGGCAGCCCGCTGACCTGGAAACAAGTGTCCTGCGAACCTGGGGCAGCGGCGTGAGAGGGGAGCTGCCCAA